AAAATTACTTGCACCACATTAATATAATCTGTAATATACAACGAATGAAAAGTTTTTTTAATAATTGCAAAATTAGGTGAAACAATAATCAATAAAGGATAATTAGAAATCAAAAATAGAAGGTGAAGAATCAGAAATTAAATAAAGGGGTCTTCCTCCGCAAAAGCTGAATGGATAGAATAGAAGAAATCAAAAGGAGGAGTATAAAAATATTATAAATAGCAGATAATGAGGTAATATTTTTAAAACAAGTCACCAGATATCATTCGTGTACCGTGAGGTCTGTGATTCAATCTGTCAAAAAACTTTGTAATTTGAAAAAATGTTTATTAGTATCATTGTTTAAAGCAAAAATTACACCAACTCTAAATCATGGAAAATAGTATTAGTATTACTTATGTGCATAATATTAAAAAATTATTCCAGTAGCAGTATGTCACTGGAACGTTTCATTACAAAAGTAAACGTTCCTACGCTGTGCATAGGCGGTTAAATATCTGTCCCAAAGATGCAAACAAGCGGAAACAATTAGTTAAAATATAACAAAAGGATACAGGTTTCACTGATTAAACCTTTTTATGCATAGTGGGTAGTAACTGAAATACTTAACTGGTTAAACATTAGGGGCCGATTCCACCGTTATGTTAAAGTTTAAATTACTAAGCGAAGTTTAAAATGACAATTTTACACTAACAATGTCATTTTAATCTTTGCTTAACACAACGGTGGAATCGGCCTTATGTCAAACAAAAATGTCTGTCAATAATATATATCTAACAAAACGTTTTAAACGGATTCTTATCGAAAGTATCCCTATATCGGAAATCGTACAGTAAAAGAAACGACTTTGGGACGCCATGAATCGTCATCTCAATATTCATATTATTCATGATTTCCTTGTAAACTTTCTATGGCACAGCATGAATGTGCTACCGAAAAAAAATTCTCGACATACCTCAGCGTTTGCTGTCAATAAACTAATTTGACATTTCCCGTAAATTTCTCATATACTCGTTGAATTTATGGATGCATGTGAATGTTTTGTTGTTGTTCGTTTTTTGTTATGGTGGTCTTAGTCTTGGTCGTTTGAAACAATACAAAAGAGAGACGACGTTCGGCGACCCGGCGACAATGGCGGAGCATTTCGTGCAGTGGCCAAGGAGGCCGGGTCGACAGCGTGACTTTGACTCGTGATATCCACGAATCGGCCATCTCAACTTCAGCTAACCAACCTCCTCCACCGGACTTGATGATATACAAGGTGAATGAAACATAAGCTATACAAGCAATAATTAGTTTGTCACACTTGCTTGAGAAAGTCCATAATAAAGTTTGTCCAGTAGCCCAAGTCAAAATGTTATTTTATAGAAACAGAACTAGACAAAAAACTCTCTATAAAACGGTATATAAATATCTACTGTTTCCAAACCATTGTCATTATTAGTCAATGCCATATTCACTAACAGTTATTGCAGTAATTTAATAAGTAAGCATTCCAGTCCAGCTAGCACAAAAGCATCCCATCTATGTTAATAAGCTGCAATTTTAGGCTCTTTAAGCTCGCATGCAATATATTACCCTAATATCCCTGCAACCGCCAAATGTTCGCAACAGCAAGACTTTTATACCACATCTCACTGAGGTTACAAAGTGAAGTTCGAAAAACATCACACTAGCACTTTTATGGTACTTACCCCGAAAGTTACTCTGAAACATTCTATAGATGGTATAATGTGAATTAGTTCTACAGCATTATACTTGGTACCAATATTGCAAAGGTTTACTAGAAGCTTAAACGGTGGACGATTGTACAAAAGAATATTTATATGAGGCATTTCATGCAGAATTTTGAAAGTGAAGAAAAAATTAGCCTTGAATGTTTAAAATATATCACACAGTATGTAGCATATAAATTTAAAAACAAATATTCTCATGGGAAACTATCGAAATTTACAAATAATAAATAATTAGGTATCATTAGGAACTGCCGGTTTTGTGATTATTGTTATAAGTAAATTAAAAAGTAGACAATGTTTTTTCAAATGTTCTAATCACCCTGTACATCCAAAAATAATAATCCAAATAAAAATTCTAAATCTGTTGTACTTTTCATACTGTCACAAATTACAATTAATAATTTTTTCCAAATTCTGTATCTTTATATATTCATATTTAATAATTAATTAATTCATAATAGGATAGTTACCTTTATTTCAAATTCCAGTAGTACGAGCCCTAACACAAAAATGTTCGGACATCTACTGATTTTTCGTAAAAGTTTGAAAATTTCCTTAAGGGATTCAATATCATGTTTTACATCATATTTATGATATTGTTTTCAAATAAACTGATATTGATCAATAAAACTATGCTAATGTTGATAATAATGCATATTTATTGACACATAAAGGTTCGGACAAATCACATAAATAGCTGGTTGCATCTCCCTTTGCCTTAATAACAGCTTTTATTCTATCAGGATAGTTTTAACAAGCTTTTCGCAATCTTCCGCGGTAAAAGAATCCCAAATATTTTGCAATTTTACCCGCAAATCAGAAATGTTGTGCTGTGGATCATTTCTTAATTGCTGCTTCATCTTGTGGCATACAGTTTCGATTATATTTAGATCAGAGCTGCTGGAGGGCCAGTCAAGGACGGAAAAATATTGTTGTCCTGCAGCCACTTTCTTGTGGTCTTGGCTGTATGGCAGGAGGCGCCATATTGTTGAAAAGTAAAGTTTCCATCAGTTTTTAAGAATGTTCTGATATTTTTCTGCGTTTACAATTCCGTCTATAAAGTGCAGTTTTCCAACACTGAAAGCAGACAAGCTTCCCCATACCATAACACCTGATGGAAATTTTATTTTTTTCTTTAGGCAGTCTTTGTGAAAGGCTTTATTTTTGTTTCTTATAACACGTGATCGATGGTCACCCACGCAAACATCAAATTTTGATTCATCGCTAAAAATGATTCTTTTCCAGTCTTCAAAAGTTCACATTGCCCGTTCCTTTGCCCACGCTAATCGTCTTTTCTTTTGTTTTTTCGTCAGCAACGGCTTTTCTTTTGCCTAAACCAATGATTTCACTGCATAAATATGGGATTTTCCTTAAACGTAACCTACGAACCTCATAAAAATGTAAACCAGACTTATGGATCCAGCGACGACACGTTTCTCGTGAAACATTTCCAATTATTTATTTATTCCATTTTGCTGTTATTTCCCTTACATTACTTCGGTGATCAGTTTTATAAATCCGAACAAGAGATCTTTGCATTCGGGAAGTGACTTTGCGTGACCGACCAGCACCATGTCTTGAAATTTGAGTTGAACCCGTTTCTCCATATTTTTTCACAATATCTGACACCGTGGACTTTGCGACATTTATTTGTTTAGCAATATCCCAAAAGGTTTTTCCTTGGTTAAACAGTTTTACTATTAATTCTCTAATTGCACCATTTGTTGCTTTACCACGCGACATTTTGGAGCCAATTGATAATCGAATTAATTCTCAAGTTAAAATATCAAAATAGAAACATTTTTTTTGTTTCCATGGCTTGCTATTATTTGTTTTACTAACGTGTCCGAATATTTATGTGTCAGCAAATATTGCATTAGTTTAGTTTTATTAATCAATATTAGTTTATTTGGAAACAATTTCATAAATATGATGTAAACAATACATATTATGTCTTATAAATGAAAAACATATGATATTGAATCCCTTAAGGAAATTTTCAAACTTTTTCGCATAATCAGTTAATGTCCGAACATTTTGATGTTAGGGCTCGTATAATAATTTTGTAACAAAATACTAAACAATTCTCAATTTTTATATTTCCTTTCATGTTTAACAATAACAAAATTTGCTAATTTTGCTGGTTTCACAAACTGTGGAAACTACAAATCAAATATCGTTAGTTTTATTAACTTGTTGAATATGCAAAATCAGCAAATGAGTCTTGAAGGTAAATGATCTAACAAACAGGAGGCAGTCAGGAAAGCAGCGTTACCAGGTCTAGGGATTTATCCCGAATCTAGGGATTTTTGATGTACGGCAGGGATAAAGGGATTTTGATCCAAGATCTAGGGACAATTCAACAAAAACGATTTTATCCGATGACAAAATAAAAAAAAATATTTTATTTCCCTTTAATAAATGTTGAGAAATAAAACATTGCTTTCAATGCTTTCGCAATCTAATTTTACGTTTTTTAAGAATGGACGCCGCCATCTATTTGGAATTGATTGCAACTTTAAATAAATAAATAGTAGATTTCATATTTGGGCCCAGTTGTTTTTTAAGAATGGACGCTGCCATCTATTTGGAATTGCTTGCAGCTATAAAGAAATAGTAGATTTTAAATTTGGGCACAGTTATTTTTTAAAACGACATTGGCGTTACCATTTCGGGGATTTACACGAAATACCGGGAAAACCCCTATTTGGCGACCTTCACAAAAGAACCTGTAAATTCCCGTATTTGTAAAAGATCTTGTTGCGTTGTAGGTTGTCGTAAACTTTGTGATTGGTCTTATTACTTCATTTAATTTTTTAAGTAAATTATTTTTGTAAGTTTTAAGTGACAAACCGTTAAAATAAGGTATGTAGTAAATTATTCATATTTATATTAGACTCTTAGAAATAAGTATTTACATAATAATTATTTATTTCTTAGGAAAATTAAAATGACTTCCAAACCCTCTAGTTCTAGAGAGGTTAAAGAGTATATATCAACATCATCATCTTCTTCTGAGGAGGTTACACTGCAAGGAAAAAAAGAAAAAAGAAGTCGTATGCCCAAAAGTATCAGAAAAAATGGGAAAAAGAAGACGTATTTAAAGGCTGGTTACAGATGAGCAAGATGGGACCAACATATGCTTTTTGTAGAGTATGTAATAAGGATTTGGTATGTGGAAAATCCGAACTTTTAAGACATTCTGGAGTGGCGGCACACAAAAATAAAAGTAAATATTTACTTAAACAACAAACATTAAAGTCTATGACAACATTTCAAACTAATGTAGATTCCAATAATAACATTAAGAAAACGGAAATTAGATTCGCAGCTTTTGCCGCGGAACATAATTTATCGTTCAATGTAATGGACCATCTTTCAGAGGTCATTAGGGTTAGTTTTTTTGGTTCTCAAATTGCTAAAGGGTATACCAATAACCGAACAAAAGCCACTGTCATCATAAACAATAAATTTTTACTAATTGTCGATGAATCCACAGACAAAAGTGGGACAAAAAGTTTGGCATTAGTAGCTAGGGTTTGTAATTTTAAGAAGGCAGATGATTTGTTTTTGGGATTATTACCTGTAGCATCGGCCACAGCTGATGCACTTTACCAAAAGATTAGGGACTTTTTCGTAGAACACAATATAGATTACAAAAAAAATTTAATCGGGTTTGGCGCTGACGGAGCTAGTGCAATGATGGTTATACATAATTCACTGTCCACAAAATTAAAAAATGATGTACCAAATTTATTTATTTCAGTCTATGTGCAAATTATGCTTGTCAAAAATTGCCTGAGTTGGTTGAAGATCTTGCAAGAGATGTACACACTTACTTGCAGTATAGCTTTAAAAGGCAAACTAAACTTCTCGAGTTCCAAGAATTTGTTAATGTTAAACCACATAAAATTCTTCAACCATCTCAGACCCGATGGTTATCTTTGCATCAAGTTGTAGTAAGATTCTTGGAACAATATAATGCTCTGGTACTATATTTCACAGATCAGGCTAGTGAAAACATAGAGAAAGCCCAATCGATTCTATACAGGTTAAATGATCCTTCAGTAAAATTATACTACCATTTTCTAGATTTTGCCTTACCATTTTTTACAAAGTTAAATTTGGAAATGCAATCTGAAAGCACCAAAATTCACACGTTACACGGTAAAATTGAAAATGTTTTGAGGTCTCTTTTAGATTGCTTTATTAAAAAAGAATATTTGGAAAAAACTCCCATCGAAGACATTCAATATAAAAATTCTCGATTTTTTTTACCAATTGAAGAAATGTATTTAGGTGCATATGTAGTAGGTTCTGTTACTAATAAAACCCACAATTTAAATGCCGAAGAATTGCAAAATTTCCGGACCCGTTGCTTGGATTTTCTTATTGAGAGTTGCGCTCAAATTTATAAGCGATTTGATGCAAAGAGAACCTCAATGAAAATTTTAAAAGATATATCAATTATAAGTCCTGAGCAGGTAATTTCCAAGAAGCATAACACAATTGCTTCTTTGGGGATGCATTTCCCAAATCTGGTTTCAGCGAACCAACTGAACGAATTGGATCGAGAATGGCGAAAATTACGCAATATCGACATAAATGACTTAAAAAATCTTAATATTTCAGAATTTTGGTCAAAAATTTCAGAAATGAAATGTGGTGATGAATCCTTTATGTTTCTCACACTCTGTGAATTTATATTTAATGTCATGTGTTTGCCACATTCAAGCCCAACCTAAATAAAACCAAAATAAGAAACAAGCTTTCAACAGAAACTTTGTCTGGCATCCTACATACTAAAACATTAATGAAAAATGAAAATTGTTTCAATTTTAATATTGATGAATACTTGGTTAAAAAACTGAATTATAAAATGTATAACAAAATAAAAACAATATTTTAAGTAATAAAAAACATTTCAAAATGTTATTTTTAAACTAATGTTATTTTATTTTTAAACTAATGTTATTTTATGTTTAAACTAACGTTATTTTATTTGGATTATTTGTATTTTTATTGACGAAAATAAAATATTTTCATAATGTTCTTGTCTTATTTACTTTGCCGAGTGCAAAGTGAGGCGCTTGCGCTTTGGGGCCACGAATTAACGTATAGGGATATTCTAGGGATTTTTGAAATGATTTTTAAAATAAAATAAAAAAGAATTTGTGGGCGTGCCTCAAATAAATAGTGCGGTAAGCATAAACATTTTTATAATTATTTTTGTATGTCTGTTTAAAAAATTAATCTCTGAGTTAATAAAAGTGTTAGTTTTGATTAGTGATTTCATAATTATTTTTGTATGTCTATTTAAAAAAAATCTATTTCTGGATTAATAAAAGTGTTAGTTTTGATTAGTGATTTCATAATTATTTTTGTATGTCTATTTAAAAAAATCTATTTCTGGATTAATAAAAGAACTAAGTTTTTATTAGTGATTTTAATTTCTTTTTTCCAACAAGCAGAACCATAGTTAAAGTAACAGTTAAATTAATAATTACTCCTCACCAGGTTGAATTTTGAGTCGACCGGACTTTATCCAAACCTTGGAGAAGTTCGAGCTACCCGGAATATAGCGTGGCGAGCTCGTCGTGGCGTCGTTAGATAAAATCTGAGCTACCCAAACCCTTAAAAAACTACCCTGATAAGCCACGACGTGACAATACCATAGTAGTTTCGACATTGACGATAAATAAATACAAATAGGTGCAAAAACTATTCCAGGAAAAATGTTTTTTTTTACTTAAGTTATAAAAATAATACCAATTTATTTAACTATAGTGGAATGTAATTTTTTAAAGCTATTAAAAACCAAGAACTCTATATTTTAGTAGATACTTTTTACTTAAAAATTAGTTTTTGTGTCGGACTGTCCCAGAATATTCTTCCCGCGATTGCATTTGCAAACAGTAATTATTAGATTTTAATACCATAGATATGCAACTATCTAATAAAAACCTAAAATAAAATATAAGCAAATTATCGTGTCCGAAATTGCATTTCTTCATGCGTATTTTGCATTAAAGATTCGGAATTATGATTCCAAGGTGACGTCACATTGTGTGAGAGAGATAGATTGCTACACGCGCTTTGGCATACCGTTGTTTGTGTATCGTGATTAAATCATCAACCTAAAGTGTTATTCCGAGGTAAGGGTTTAAAATATAGCAATGTTCGCAAATAATAAAATAAATACAGAACTACGGCATCTTGCATCTAATGTAATACCTAGATACGAGGTATTACATTCCCGGCCTGACAATGAAGGAGGCAAAGTACAACAAGTTTTTATTATTTTTCAATGTAATCTCCCTTAACCTCAATGCACTTCTTACAACGTTTAATTAACAATTTAATCCCTTTAAAAAAATATTCTTTCGGTTTATCCTCAAAATGGGCCAAAACAGCTTCTTGTAACTCAAAATCGTCCCGAAAACGTCGCCCGCGAAGGTCCTTTTTCAAATAACTAAACAAATAATAATCGCTGGGAGCCATATCTGGACTATAAGGAGGGTGATCTATATTTTGAAACCCGCAATCTAGGATGGCAGCTTGTGTAACGCCAGCAGTATGAACGGGCGCATTGTCGTGCAACAACCGCACGCCTCTGGTTAATTTTCCTCAACGTTTCTCCCGAATACATTCTCGCAACTTATGAAGTAATGCGGCATAATATGTGCCATTAACGGTGGTATTTGTCTCTTTAAAATCAATTAGAAGGGTTCCTTCACAATCCCAAAAGATCGTAGCCATCACCTTTTTCGTTGATTGGCAGACTCTAAATTTTCGTGGGGGGCTTCACCCTTACGGCGTTAATCCATTGATTCCCTTTTCGACAGAGGATCATAATAAAGAACCATAGTTTCATCTACAGTGACTATTGTTTCCAACACGGGGTTCGGATCATCTTCACACAGTTCTAAAAACGATCGAGCACACTCGACACGACGTTGCTTCTGAATCGACGAAAGGTGTTTGGGCACCCATCTTGCACTAACCTTATGCATACCCAAATGATCATGAAGGATTCGGCGAACAGTGGTATCAGAAAGCTTGGTCATTTCTGCCATTTCCTTGACCTTCAAACGTCGATCACTTAGCACCAGGTTTTCCACAAGGGCCACTTTGTCCTCCGTTATCACCTCCACTGGCCGCCCAGGTCTTTCGTCATCTTCAAGGGATTCCTGACCCATGCGAAAACGTATTGCCCATTTCTTCACTACCGAATAGGAAGGGGAACTTTGGCCATATACGCCATCGAGTCTTTCTTTAATAATTTTAGGTGTAAGCCCTTCTTTTGTTAAAAATTTAATAACCGCTCTGTACTCAATTTTCGTCACCTGAGACATTTTCGGAGATGGAATCAATTGTTGCGGAAAAAATGTCCTCCTTTTTAATCCATGAAAATGTTATTCCTCAACAACAACATGGCTTCATTAAAGGAAGATCGACTCTTACCAACCTCCTCCATTGTATTAATAATTGAACGAAATCCATTGACGATAAAAAGCCTATCGATGTCATTTATCTTGATTTTTCTAAGGCTTTTGACAGAGTCCCAAAACGTCGACTACTTCATAAACTGGAACATCTAGGCATCCGCGGTAACCTTCATAATTGGATCTTAAAGTTTTTAACCGACAGATCTTTTAAAGTAAGAGTTGGTAGCGAGTTCTCCTTAGAAAGACCAGTCTCAAGTGGTGTTCCACAGGGCTCGGTTCTCGGCCCTTTGTTGTTTACTGCTTACGTAAGCGACCTTAAAGCGTTAGTTTCATCCTCAATATGTTTTTATGCCGATGATACAAAAATATTTGCCAACCCTCTTCACGACCATCAGGCACTTCAAAATGACCTTAACAACCTCCATTTATGGTGCTGCGACTGGCTCTTGCCCCTAAATATAAACAAATGTGTTGTGCTCCATATTGGTAAAAATAATCCGGAGTTGCCATATTCAATCAACATGCATGCATTAAATAGAGTGTCCTCGTACAATGATCTGGGTGTTATAGTGAATTGTAATTTATCGTGGAGTGACCATATCGCTAATGTGTGCAAACGCGCAAACTCCAGATTATTCCTAATTCAAAAAACATTTTCAAAAGTGTCGTTTGAAACGCTGTGCAGACTTTATAAATGCTACGTCCGTCCTATCCTAATATACGCAGGACCCGTGTGGTATCCAGACCTAGTACGCAACCAACAAATATTGGAATGTGTTCAACGTCGCTCCACCCGGCTTACCTTTGGCCACAATATATCCCCTATAGTAATGTTACTGGGATTCAAGAAATGGCTTTGAGTTACGCTGCGGCCAGACACAGGTCTCATGGCGCTAGTATCGTTATTGATTTTTGACATCGGCACGTTCATTGGTTGACGACGAATTCAAAACAATCTGATCAGAGCGTTACTCACTCCCACTCCTCCTCTTTGTTTAGATGCTTATAAAAGAAAGAGATACCAGTTAATAATTCCTATTTCGAATCATCTTTCCTTCTTAAGCGTTGAGTTTTTATAAGTGAAGCGTGAAGTGTCAGTGTTGACAAGTGATAATTTTTTGATTTTTTCTTCTACGAAATTTAATATTAATTTTGTTTCAGCGATATTTATTGTGATTTGTGTTGTTGTATTAAGTGCTTTCTTATTTAATATGGGAAACAAAACGTACAACAAACTCAGAAAAAGAGGAATCAAGGAGGGATTGCTATCTATGGCTGTCATCCAAGGGTCTGCGCCCTAGATAATACTTTTCCAGTGGGAAAAGCCTTTAAAATTCAAGTATAACAATTTTATGTTTCCGTTTTCGCTTCTTTTAATGTAGGTGCCAATTTTGAGGTAAGTTTGTAATAATTTTTCATATTTTTTCAGTTAATACCTACCCTCTTAATATTATAATTTAACTATGATCTTATGCTTTCCTATGGACACGATTCAAGGAGGGAGTCCTATGGCTGTCATCCAAGCCCTAGATAATAGTTTTCCAGTGGCAACAGCCTTTAAAATTCAAGTATAATAATTTACTTTTTTCGAAGTAGATGTCCATTTAAACTAAATTTTTTTATTTCACTTATTGATTTTAGCATTTATATACAGTATCGGCTAATGAACACTTTCCAATACGCTTGGCTAGAATCTAAAAGAAAACTAAAGAGTTAGCGCATTAGTTCGATCAGGAAACGAATAATATGAATGTTGCCTTGTGTGCTGTGTAATATGAACAGGCACACGGTGTGATGCATCCCCACGTAGCCGGCTGGCTACGTTCATAGTATTCTATTCCTTCTCCCACTAATGCTAACTCTTTGTAGTTTTTACTTGGACATTAGCAAAACGTATTGTACAACATTCGATAGCTGTCACTGTATTATCACAAACATCTCATATGCCGCGTTTGAGAATCCACATCCGATGCATCTGAGATGTAAAAAATCTTTGATCACGTGATTCAGTATATGTAAATGTAATGTGATAGATGTGTCCGATGTGGATAAAAAAACGCTCGAGATGTAAAAAATGCATCCGATGTGGATTCTCAAACGCAGCATTAATAACTAAATGATTTCATTTAATAGTTTCTTTTTTTTTCAGTAAAATGGATATGGCTAGAGTTATCTTCGTCTTTAAAATATATTAAATAAGTTTTTTAATTTTTCAAATAAAATACTTTATACAATTTTTTGTTTTTTTTTACCAGAGCCAATTTTTTTTCAGATCTAACCTCTGTAGGTAAAAAATA